CTCTTTAAGTAGACCTGATGATTTTAGGACATGGACTACCAATAATGAAAAGGACTTCAGGTGATGAAATATGGAGAGTGGTGGCATGTATTTTGGATGTAGTAGAAAGTGGCCATAAATGTATGATTTTATCCTAACCCTAATCTAGACCTTGCTTTTGCCTAACCTTTTTGAATGCCGCCAACTAGGTTTAAAGAATTATTAAAAAATTTTCATAAAAATTGTCAAATGTTAAAAAATAAAATTGGAACAAACCATTTAATAAAGAAAGACTTAAAAGATATAGAAACATCACATTTACTGTGTTAAGAAGAGAGAAAGAAATAATTTCAATTTATAGTAAAATTTTACAATTGTTGCATGGGCAGTATATTCAGTAGTGGCTCCATCTATCATTGTCCACCATTCTTTTTTCCAGAAAAAATAATTGTTTATGATTCTAATTTCGAAAAATTATTATTTAATATACAGAAGAGAATGGAAAAGAAACTTACTTAAAAACATTATTTACTCTTAAGGATAAAACCTCAATGGAAGTGATCAGAAATCAAAAGAATTCAGACAAGGTAGTGCAATTAACCAGAATTGAAAAAGAAAGAAGAAAGTTGATAACTATTGTTACAGAATTTCAAGAGATTGTGGCTAAAGATCAAACAGATATTGGCACACTTGATTTACCACCTCTCTTTTTGAAGAAGCCACCCCATTCAAGACCATACAGATTACCACCTATAAACATGAATGAATGTAAAGAGCAAGTTAATGACTTACTGAATAGTGGAATTATTAGAATAGGTAAAAGTGTTTGCACAAAAGAAAGAAGGAACACAAAAAAAGTTTTTGTGTTGACTATAGAAAATTCAACAAGCAGACTAAGAAAAACAGATATCCAGTCCCTCATCAAGAAGATTTATTTGATTAACTAGGTGGAGAAAATAGATATGTCTCTGTACTTGACCTCACAAGTGCTTACCACCACATTAAGATAAAAGTAGATAAAGGGAAAACAGCATTTATAACTCCATTTGGCCTCTTTGAGTTTAATAGAGTGCCATTTAGTTTTGCAAATACCCCACCTCACTTCAGCTATGTTATGGCAGCATTTGTTTTAAATGGAATGGATAAACTTTACCTCAATTATATAGATGATATTATCATATTTAATAACACTTTAGAAGAACATAAAGTGGCTTTGACAAAAGTACTGGAACAAATCAAGAGAAAAGAGCACCAAGCCATAGGTATGAGTTGATGGAAACACAACATCCTGTTGAGCCTCTACAAAGAATTACCATGCATATTATTGGACCTCTTAATGGACATAATACATTCAAGCACATTTTGGTTATTGTAGATCATATGTCAAGATTTACAAACCAGTATCCTCTTAAGGGACAAACTTCAGAAGAGATTCTAAAACACTTGTTTTATAATTATTTTCCTAATTTTGGTCTACCAGACGAAATGTTAACTGATCAAGGAAGAAACTTCTTAAGTGAGATATTTGCTGAGCTTGTCACATCCTTGGGTGTAAGGAAAATCAAAACTACAGCCTTTCATAGCCAAAGCAATGGCATAGTAGAAAGAAGAAACTTGGAAGTAAGAGGAGCACTACATAAATTACTGGTAATAGAAGGGTATACCAATTGGGTAAAGCAGTTACCAATTATTCAAGGCTGCCTCAACCAAATTCCAGTTGTAAGTACAGGAAAAACTCCCCATGAATTACTATATGGGCTTAGAAATCAAAACATGTTGGATACATTGCTAACAATTCCAAGAATAGAGCCAACAACCAAATTCTTATTTGATAGAAAGCAAGACATGGATGAATTAAGGACAACTGCAATATGTAAATCAGTAATAAAGAAAAAGGAATACAGGAATAGAGCTAATATAACCCTGATGAGAAAACCACCAACCTATAAAGATGACAATTAGGTAGGTACATATTAGGAGAGAAAATATTCACAGATGTATAGAAAGGATACCAAGTTTAAATGGAATGGACCATATGAGATAACAGCTGCAGATGTAACCAAATGTTTATATGAAGTAGAATTATATGAAGATGGCAGAAGAAAATATTATGCAACAAGATTAAAATTGGCTAATAACCAAGAAATAGATGTGACAGTTAATCATGTTGATACTGAAAATAGGATAAAGCCATAAATGTTATTTCCAATTATAGAGGTAATACCTCTCATCATGATAATATTTATGTTATTACCATTGACAATGACAAACCAATTCACAACTGGTGCTAACGTCACTTTAAAATTTGTACCTCCTATTCAATACTAAAATGGACAGCAAGACAGCAAGCATTGGATTTAACAGATCAAAGGGAATGTCAAGTATTGAACCAACCTGTGACAAACATATTAACCAATGTGTACAAAATAAACACAGCTGATTTAGAGGTTAAAGCAGTAAAATGCACAAGAGAAAGTGAGAGAACTACCCGCAGCAGGAAGTATGTTGACATTTTTTTTAATTTTTGAAACTTTGTCATAAAACCAGCTCAATGTATTTAAGATATTATTACAATCAATATTTTTATCCTAGAAGTAGTCAGTCCTGTCCATAATACAATGAGTTAACACAAACCAACAATCATCAAACAAAATCCATTATTAGCTGTCTACAAATTTATGAGGAAAAGTTCATTGTTCCCTATATCTTATTTTACCTGTTGAAAAGTATTTTGTATTAGAAATAATGAGCTTAAGAGGTCAAAAATTATTCTGAATTGTAAACTATTTAAAAAATTAACATCTCTGCTTTTTAATAAACAATTAAAAGGTTAATCCAAACAAAAACTATATTGTTAAGTAACTTCCAAAGACAATTGACAGTAGAAGACAGAATAATTTGTATGAATTATCCGTGATTTACCTCAATAAAAGACTTTTACAATCCTGAAAGAAATGTTCTGTACAATTGACTTTTTTTTATAAGGGCTATTGAGGTAAAGCCTAGATAAGAAGGTGTTTTAATATGCTGGTAAAGAGTAATTACTGACCAAATCCTACTTGTATTTAAAATGGTAAACAAGGTGCCAGATAATTAACAATAAACCAAAGTATTATTATTTCTACAAATTGAAAGTTTATTGATATTTCGCATATACTCAGAATTTCATTTTCATCCCAATATTTAATATAAACGGCTTGACACATTTCTCCTTTACAATTACATTCAAATTGACAAAAAGTTTTGGTGTTAATATTCAAATTACAATGGTAAAAATTTCCTGAAAATTCAGCATTGATTTGATGATCTAATAGAACATAGACAAATAAATTTTGTTTTAAAATTACATTATCCTTTCGGTCACAGATTAAATTACTACCAGTTATATTCACATTGAAGATATCATTTACATTATTTGCATAAGTAGGCCAAGGGAATCTTACTTTAAATGGAAAACTACTGGCATTATGACAAGTTTCGTATCTATTATCAAAAGCAATATGTTCAAGTGTAAAATTGATTAATGTACTCTGTTCATCTTCAATCAAATTAGCAACAATGCATGTTGTTTCTCCATAGTTTTTATTCATAGTTTTCAAATTTAGTGCCTGAAAATATTTTCCCTATTAAAATTTAAGAATTAAAAAACAATAGTAGTATTTACTAGGGAAACATCCATAATTTGCTTCGTAGCATAATCCTCCAGATTGGCAAATGGATAAAGTATCTGTTTTATCTTTGTTTTATATAAAAATGAATGAAAATTTTGAATAAATAAATTAATAATTCTACTTACCACCAACTCTTACCCGTAAATTTTTGGGTATATTACAAATATTGCTATGGAAACAATGAAATTGCATAACCAAAAGAAGGTATTTCAGAGAAAGAGTAACTGTAAAATCTTGTCTTTTCATTGCTTCAATCTGTTTGTCAAACAAAACTGTGTTATATATAGTTTAAAATTATATCCTATTCAATAGAATTCTAATATTCTATTGTTTAAAACATAATTTTTGAATATCAATATAGAATTACGACAAACCTAAGAAACAAACATAGATACTATTGAATACCTCACACAAATTAAATCTAAACAATAATGAAAAGTTTTTTGTTTCAGAAATTTGACATAAAAAATATAATAAATTAGTAAAAGTTGATAATTAATGCAAATTTTTCATTATTAAGAAATTGCAGTGATCAATTACTGATCAAATATTTACCATGAGCATACATCCATATCATATTATTTCCAGTTTATTATCTGTAAATTTACAGTCATTTCACTACTTTAGAAATTAATATGATTACAATTTCTGTAATGTTGCTGCACAAATTAGATTTTTTATCAGGTTGCTCAGATATGGATTAAATTTTCTGCACAGGGGGCGCCACTAGCAAACAACTAAATCCAGATTTATTATTTTTATTTTTGTCAATAGCTTCTCAGCTTTTTAAACAAAAGATTTTTACAAGAGGTCAAAGATGGTCATTATTTCTAAATTCACCCTATAGCCCTAGTTTGGAACCAATTTTGGAAGTCAAAAGCATTTCAAGTAAGTAACATTAGAGCAACAATTGAGGAATTGAGTAGTAGAGTTAGGGTTCAACTTTTTGATATTCAACTAGATACTGAGGTTTTGCAAGTGTTCATTCTATGGATAAACTCAATGTCTATTTGGACCAGTACTTTGGCAAATTGGAAAGGCAATTACACTTGTAACAAAACAGAAATTCCTTCACTTACAGTACAAGAAAGTACTTGACCTCAAATGAGTGAAAATGTAGAGTGTAGAGTTCCTTCTTGAAGATTTCTAAATATCATTCTTGTTCCAACTGAGAAAATCTATATTCCTTATTTAGTAACACACCAAAATACTCATAGAAATAGAATATCAAGTTTGTCTAGAAATTTTTAAATATTTCCTAAATTCAAACTTTCTCCTTAATGGAATACATGCTTTCCTCATAATTGTTTCATTTCATATTAAAATCATTTACTTTCACTTATCATAAAATATGAATACTATAGAAGTTGCCCAGGACAGAAGTCGCCCAGAACTAAGGCAGAAGTCGCCCAGAGCAAAGGTAGAAGTTGCCCCAGTGAGTGAGAAAATATCTTTTTTCTTGTTGTTTTATTTAAGTTTTTGAGTGATAAAACAAGAAATGATTATACCAGTTTCTATTTTACATAGGACATTTTTACCATCCTATTATCTTCAAATACAATTGTTGGTCTTGAGGTTGTTAAATAGGTTATACATTTTTTCTTCCAAAAGGTGCTAGAAGAAAGAATGTTATGAAAATCCCTGTACTCTGCTATGGATGCTGTAAGATAATTAACAAAAAAAAGCAAGGCAAATGCCTTCTTTGTTTACATAAACTCCACTAGATGTGTTTATCAGGTTAGATATTTACTGATTAATATCAATATCTAAGATTTTTTTATTGTAGATGGATTATGTTCTATATGCTCATCTATTACTAATCAAACATTGAGAATTTGTTTGAGAAGGTGTGATGAGCATTCTAAAACTCAAGATATGGTTGAAGAGTCAACTGTTGAAGAAAATGACAAAGAGCCTCTAAATAATATCACCAACAAATCCAATGAAGTAGAAAATTTCAAAATGTCTTCCATGGATATTGATCATGAAGAGGAAGTTGTTACTCACATTCTAGTTGGCAATATTGAATCAGATGAGTTGCTGTCAAAGAATAATGAAATATCAGAAATCAACCAAGCTCCAAATCTAAATCTCATAACAGAAACTATGAATGAAGATTCATTTGAAAGCATAGCAGAAGAAAACTATGAGGGAGATGGTAAATTCAAAATATTTCCAAATGGAAGCCAAAGAGAAAAAGAACTACTTGTACACAATGGTAACTCTTTTACTGTAAAAGGACAGTACAAGAATAGTACTATTTGGATATGTAGTGTATGAAATAAGAAAATGAGATGCCCAGCCAGCGTTATTCAAAGATGTAACAGTTTTCAATTTGGTTCTAAACAACACATCCATCCACCAAAAAAGAATTTAGAACAAAACATTGAAATTTAAGTAAATGCAAAACATAATGGAAAGTCTAAAAGTAATGTTAGTGGCAAATGGTTAGCTGAAAATGCAATACTTCCATATGCAAATATGGGAAATGTTGTAAAAGTAAACACTTGCAAAGAAATGATTAATTATCATAGAAGAAAAAATCAACCTAATGAACCAATTGGACAAAAATTTCTCATAAATAATACATACATACCAGATGACTTTTTAAGAAAAGATATTCTTGAAAATGGTGAAAGGATTATTATCTTCTCCACATCAAAACAACTTGATCTGCTTTTATCATCCAAAATTTGGTATATGAATGGAACTTTTAAAATTGTAAAACATCCTTTCAAACAATTATTTTCTTTGCATTCATTTTTGAAAAAAGAAGGAGAAATGAAACAGGTCCCCTTAATGTTTGCATTTATGACATCAAAGAAGAAGAAAGCTTACAATATACTATTTAAGGTTTGTAAAATATAGTTAAAGAATTATTGGTATTGATAAAGTTCATTTGCAGGCAATAAATGAACTTTTGGAATTCAAAACACCAAAGAAAATTGTGATGGATTTTGAAAGAGCTATCTGGAAAGCTGTTTTAAACAATTGGGAAAATGTTACACTAACTGGTTGTTTGTTTCATTGGAATCAAGCTGTTTATAGAAAAATACAGGTGGAAAAGTAAAATAAAATATATATTTAATCTATAGTTGTTAACTTTTTAGGAACTTGGATATTCATCAGATTTCAATAGAAAAAGGGCAGAATGGTTTGAAATGAGACAGATTATGGCATTACCATTTCTTCCATCTCACATAACTCCAATAGAATTTGGAAGAATAAAAGATTACCTTCAATCCATTAATAAACTTGGTGACTTAATAAAGTACTTTGAGAGAACTTGGATTATAGATAATATTTGGTCACCAAAGCAGTGGTCAGTGTATCAAAATGCAATTAGAACTAATAATGATGTGGAGGGATTCCATAATCGATTAAATGGAAACTTAAGAGCAAATTCATCATTCTATTCAGTAATAGACGAATTAAAAAGAGAAGCAGATCTTATTCCAGCTTATCAGAGAATGCTATCTGAGAAAAAGATATTGAGGTACCAGAGAAAGCATTACAAAAATATGCAAAGTGAGATATTTAAAATTTGGCAGAGATTTGACAATCATCAGCTGACTTCATCAGAAGTTTTGGAAAAATGTTCTATACTTTATTCAGAAATTAAATGAATAATTGCAAATAATTGTTGCACTTTCAACTGTAATCAATATTTTTTTGGTATTGTTCTGTTTAAAATGTACAAGGAAAAATAGTCTTTATTCAACTTTGTCTAAATATACTATTCACTTAAACAATCTTCACTAGATGGAAGTGTAATAAATGTACAGGGCGAGTTCTGCTTTAGTTCTGGGCGACTTCTGTTGATCCCATAAAATATACATATTATCCAATTAAGAGCAATTTGAGAAATGACATAAGCTGGGGAAATGCATTTCCTTTTATACATTTACCAAAGCTTGGGTTCTAGTGGTCAAAGGATTACAATATTGAAATCTGATGGTCTCATAATTCTCATGTAACAAAAATATGAAAAACTGTTATATATAAAATATATTTTGAAAAAAAATTGAAAGTTAGCCTATCAAATTTTATGGTGTCCATTTTTTTATGAAGTTTACTTTTTTCAGATTGAAATATTTTCAATTCTTCTTATTTAAATTATCATAATAACTCCTACATCAAATATTTCCTTTAATACATTAAATTTCTATAGTGAACATTTTCTCCTGTACCATGCAAATTTCATTGGCAATATCTAGAGAGTTTGTTTCATTGAGGGTTGTTTCCAGGCGATCTTCCTCAATAATTAGATTATGATGCCACTCAGATGTAGAATAGTAAGTTTAAACACTCAAACTTTGAGGTTTGCCTCTTTTATCGAGTCATCACTTTACATTTTTATGTATGTTTGTAAAAGAATGTTATCAGGCCCAAAAATTAGGTGTGCAGGAGAAAACGTCCACAGGAGAAAACATCAACAGTAATTTTTTATATGAACAATGGTTTAGAGATTAATATTTGGTATAGATAATTAGGTCTAAATGTTATTTTAAGCTTTTGAGATTATAAAAATTATGCAATGATAGATCCGCCATTTTGTTGAGGAACTATTGCTTGTTTATGTTTACCTGGTTTTGGTTCCTTTCAAAAAAATAGTTTTGTTAAAATACTATCTGTAAAAGATATTTACTAAGTTTAATTACAAAACATAGCAATAATGGAAAAATTTGAGTATCTTTGGATAGGTCTTTTAAATATTTATCAATTTAAGGTAAGTTTATCATTAACTAAATCAGGTTTTTGAAAATTTTGAGCAAACAATTTTTTGATAACTTTCACTTCTTGTTGAGAGATAATGGGATATTGCTATAAATGCAAGGAAAAAATGTTTGGAAGATAGCATAAAGAAAAATGCCAAGTATGCCACCATTTGATAATGATTCATAAGAAATGTATTAAAGGTAAGTTTAAATTCAAGCCCTGATGCTATCACTGAGAATGATGTTGTTAAAGATGGATTTTTTATGTTTATGCTGTCATCATCATAATCTTCAAGACATAAATTAGGAGAATTATTTTGAGAAGAAGAGTTTGTAACAGATATTTCAATAGTTCTCTTGTATCCTAGAAGATAAATATTGAATAAGTGAGAGATAGAGATATCAAAAATATAGCCTGGAATATTAGGAGGATATATAATTACTTCTTTTATTATATATTTTTTAACCAAATCAATAGCAATCGAAATTTTATTAGAATCTGATGAACCAGGGCCAAAATTAATTATTTGTGTACAACCACCTAAATTAAGATTGGAGTTGAGTAGGCCATCAGTTAAATGATGTTTAGCATAGACATTTTCAGGAGTTGCAATTTGATGACTGAAAAGTTTTTAATATATTGTTTTATTTGGTCTATTGAAGTTGCCTGCGTCAAATTATCATAATATCTTCTTAACCAGAAATCACTTGAAGAGCATTTTGAATATCTTCTCCACAAAGTAATAATGCATAATTTAGATTGTATATCCCTAAACTCAGAAGAATACGTCTTGCAAAACTCATCTAATACAAGAAAAGTTTACTATTTTGAATATGTTTATGAATTGTTTTTTTTTTACCAGTTTTAACCAAAGAATAAATACTTGAATGAAAATCAGTTGGTTCAAATGTTTTAACATAACAAGAAGTTTTAAAATAACAGGTAAAAGTTTTATCATTTCCTTGAATGGATGCCAATGAAATGACTGTACAATTTGATGTATTCAGACATTTATTAAGACATTGAAAGGTTGCATTTAAAATTGAACCAGATTCTTCTGTTATAGTAGTTTCAGGGGGAATTTCATTTCCAATGCAATCTAACTTTGAAATTATATAATCTAGAATTTAATACAGAAATAAAAAACAGTGTTTCTTTTCTTAATGATATTCAAAAATTACCTCCATTATACATTAAACTATGGGAAAGTTTATCATATTGGCAATGTTCTCCAACACATTTTTCATAAAAGAATATACAATCACTGTCCGAAGAGCAGCCTCCTTTAAAAACAAGAAAAGAAAAATAGTAAATTGAAATCGAAATACTTTAATTTTTTTTACTTGAAAAATGAGGTTTAAAATAGAATGATAAGAAGAAAAGATACAAGAAATATTTAGCCATTTTGAGTTATAAAGAAGAAGAAGAAAAAGAAGAGAATAAATCTACTTGGCTAAAATTGTTTTAAAGATAATATTTTATTGACTAAATATCTTTGACAATAGTAAGGTTTGTATTGAAATTAAAGTATTATTATAATTATTAATATTTCCAATTTTAACATAATGTCATTGTCATTTATATTTGTCTTTCTATTCAATTTTCCTTTTTTTTTGTCTTTGCCTTCTCATTCATTTTTGCTGTTGTTGTTCAATTAATATATTTTTCTTTTCAATATATTGAATGAGTACAATTCACTGTCACATTTATTGTAACAATACATCTTGCATTTGTGAGCTGTGAGTGGTTAGCCAATCTTGTAAAATGAAAATTTATTTCAGAAAGTGAAATTTCCACTGTATGTACACATCCCAATTCCATATGTATGTGTTTGTTAATATAGAGGAGAGAGGTTAAGGTGTTTATAGCAGCTAACCTTGGCCTATTTTCTAAAAAAATCCTTTTGGAAGTGACGAAAGGCTTAAACAGTCGATGAAACTTTTTAATCCTACACAGTAGTAATGCATTTAATACCAAAGAGATGTAATGAAGCAGCAAAATGGTGTTTTATAAAGAAAAAGAAAAAGTTTTTATATTCTACCCCACCAATAATAATTAATTGTTTATAAAATAAAGGTAAATGAATTATTATTGATGATAATAGCATTTTCTCACAACATTAGAGATAGGTTTGTTAGAGTAAATAATTCTAGTGGAGGTTGTTTCCAGGTTATCTTTCCAGGTCCTTGGGTCCAGATAGAAACACTTACAATGAAAATATTGAGTATTTATATACTTTGAGGTTTGCCTCTGATATCCAATCATCACTTTACAGTTGCTGAACTGTGTAGCTCACATTTATCTTTAGTAACAGGATGTTACAAGGTTCAATATTGAGGGAGGTTAATTGAATTATAACTTTTTTGATATCTTACAATAATTCTCTCACTTAATAATTAAGTCAGTTTCTCTTTTTAGTTCATGGACAACTAAATAAAATGACAAATTTAAACCTAAATTTTTATTTCATCTATGATGAAAACCCCCTAAATCATTGTTAGTTCTTATTGTTTGGTTGAAGATAGACCAAGTCTCTGGAGGCCAAAAGCTACTTTTAATCCAGTTGTCTTCAATATATTCAATCAAATCAACAAGTTTATTTCTTTCCACTAAGTCATATTTTATGTTGCTGAATTGATTTGCAATCAAAGTATGAGGAAGGTAGGGTAAGGCCAAATTCATTTTCATCAATTTCCATTCTCCTTTCTTTTCAAATTCTGAACTGTACCCTAGATCCTTTAAATAAAACAATAAAGTTAGATTACATTTTTACACTGTTCAATGTTTTTCCTAACCTGAATTTTTCGGAATATTGCTTGTGACCAGTGAAAAGAGCAACCAACCATTAAACTATCTGTCCAAGTATCTCTGATACCTTTCTATATTGCCTTTTTGTAGTCCAAAACAATATTTTGAACAGAAACGTTGTCAATTAGCTCATTTACAGCCTAAATGCACAGATTATCATTGATTCAAGTATTTATAAACCTAATTTATCTTGAAAAGTAATTTATACTTTATATCTTTTCTTTTTTGAGCTTAGGAATGAAAAAAGCAATGGCACCTGATTCAACTCTCCATTTTTCTTTAAAAAGCCATTGAAAACATTTGAAAAATATATCTTTTGCAAATTTGAAAGTACCATCCATGTACCATATCTTTGCCATAGACAAGAGTTTTAACTGATGATCACTTGCAAAAACTAATCTTCTTTCATTGCCAGAATAAATATCTTTCTTCAAAAATTCAAATGGCACAAAAGTTAAATCAAGTTGAAAATTTAAATCATTTGGTTCAGCTAGTGTATTTTTTCTCCTGTGTAGTTGGCCACTTCTTTGCAATTGTGCAAACTTCACTTTCCATGAGAATGTTGAAAAGAATTTCTTCAGCTAGTCTTTTTCCAGATGATTTAATATCATTAGCAGATTTCTCTTTGATATCATTTCTAATGACAATCTGCTTTTCAACATTTTCACTTGTGAGTGGTCGTGGCTTTTTCTTCCACAATGGAAATTTTTTTCTTTTTGGATGATGGTAGCAGAATATTTTTTTGTGGTGATAGTCCTGTACTTCCTACAGGTGATTGGTTCAAAAATTCTTGAATCAAGGATAGGTTTGCTGATTTTCTTCCTCCACTAATTGATTAATTTCCTTCCTCACATATGTTGAAAAGAAGATTTGCAATTTCTTTACTGGTTTGCTGTTTTAGTGCATATAGAACTGTGTATCTACTGAAATGATCCACTACCACAAATATGAATCTGTATGACATAACCATGGGTAAAGGTCCAATTATATCCATGGCCACCACTCCATTGGTGATGTAAGATGAAATATTTCTACCAAAGGGTATACTCTACTTCTACCATTCATTTGTTCACACAAAGTGCAATCCTTAATGAATTCTCAATCGTAATCTTTAATTTTGGGTACCAAAAGGTCTTTGTAATTATTTGTAATGTCATTCTGGGACCATGGTGATTGTGAATATTATTTTTATGGAATTCAGGGACCATTGTAAAAAAGAATTTATTTCCTCCTCCCAAATGGTCAGGGTGAAGCTTCTCTAGCATTTTTCACTGTTTCTTCTGAGATTTTGTGTATACAATACTGTTGAATAGTGAATATAATCTAAACTTAGAATTAAAGCATAATTGATATTTAATTGAACTGCTTTTAGTTGAAATTCATAAATTTATAGATTAATAAATTGTAATATTAATGCTAGGTTGCAAATAGCAATATTCCATATATAATTTAACAGGTTTTATTGTTGCACACTGTATATGCAGTGCCCTTCTCTAAATTAGGTGAATACTGCTTATCTCCATCAGTGCTATGTGCATAGTACAATACTGGTTCAATACTACTTATCTATTGTAGGGTATAGCTGACAAATGTATGTATACAAACTACATTACTTTTACTTTGTTACCAATAGGCCTATAGAGATTTTCTTTGGAGTGCTTTGTCAACATTCCCAACTATTGATGTGTTGACATGGCTACAGTGTTGATCAACACTATTCAAATTCTAGTTGCCAATAACAGAACAAGCCTTGTAAATATAGGACTGAATTGGGTAAGTTTTCTTTAACTTACTAAATCTTCTTACAAAGTCATTATCAATGGGTGTAAAATTTCAAAGACATTTTAATATAAATTACTTCAAGAATTTTGATGCAAGATTTTTCTATAAAAGTCGGTTTGGCAAAAAATAAAAACAATTATTACATTTAACAAATAACTAAGCCTAAAATATGGCCTACTTGTTTCACATAATACACTTTAGAATTTAAAATCTATATATTTGTAAATAAACTCTTGAGTAGACTCCACTCTTTATTTAAAAAAAGAATTTTAAAGAAAATAGAATTAAAGCATAATTGATATTTAATTGAACTGCTTTTGATTGAAATTTATAAATTTAAAGATTATTAAACTGTGATACTAATGCTGGGTAGCAAATAACAATATCTATGGATAGTTTAATAGAATATATTGCACACACTGTTTTGATAATAGTAGAATGGCTTTCTAGAAAGAAAATGGAAAGGTAAACAGATTATAACAACTTGAGACTATGCATTTGAATTAACAGGTTGGAATAATATTCAATTCAAAACTCTTCTGAAATGTTTTTGAATTTATTAAAAATGTTGTCAAGAAATATCCAAAGAAACAAAATTTTTGTCAAGTACCACTTTTACCAATGATTCTTTTCTATATTTGGAAAGAGAAAGGGAATATTTTTAAGAAAACTCTTTTCCAATTATATGAAGAAAAAAGAGTTACAACTGTATTATTTATTATTTCAAGAATACTTTTCAGCTAATTATCTAATAAAAGAGTTTGAGAAAAAACCCAAACAAAAAATTTGGACATTGACAACTTCATAGAATGATGAAAAAACTTTAAATGAATTTTTTTAAGAAAATAAAAATATCATGATAAATAAAACTTTAGATTTTGTTCACCAATATTATCAATCAATATTTCAAAATATTCTACTCTCATCTGGTCAATTGTAAATATACATTTATTTCCTTTCAGATTCCAGGCTGTTAGTTTGTCTGGATTGTGAAAAAAGACAGTGTCTTCTTCAAAGGACGAGACTAGAAGATCAAGGAATGAAAGATTTGCATTGGATGAGAATGAAGATGATAAGATTGAGGAAGAGGCAACAGATAACAGAAAAAGTGATGGTCTGAGAGATTCAAATGCAAAAAATGATGAAATATCAGTCAATGCGGTTTATACTTGCCAAGAAGTTATGGATTACAATTTTCAGATAATTAGGGGTTGATGGAAGAAAAGAGAAAATTTTCAGACTTGCTGGAATATTTTGAAAGTCTTTGGATTTTGAATTCTACTTGGAAAACATTGAATTGGTCAATATTTGGATTATCAATAAGGACTAATAATAGTATGGAAGGATGGCACAATAGAATAAATAATAAAGTACAATGAAAAGGATCATTCTATTTGTTGATTGATGAATTGAAAAGAGAGGCTGATATGGTTTGCATTTATGAAAAACTTGTCTCTGAGAAGAAGATAATCAAATATCAGAGAAAAAATATGGTGATATAGAGAAGAAAATATCTTAATTCTGGGATGATTATAGGCTTGGAAGGATATTATATGATGAATTATTAATCCAGACTTCTTATACTGTATTTATTGCTATTATCTATTCTTTTCTTTAGTTAACATATAGTATAATACCTCTTCAATACATTCATTATCATATTTTTTTTCCATATGTGTCAACAGTGACAGTTTTACTTAATCGTAGCAAGAGATTCACCATCAATGGGTGGTTAATGGAAAAGTTTTCCTCCTGCACTATAAGTAATAGATTTTTGCTATTATTCCTCTAATAATCTAATAATAATCTAAACTTTAATGTTAGATTCTAGTTTGGTAACTGGGTAACCTGCTAATACAAACTATCTATCTTTAGGATGACTACATAAAATAAATCTTTGGAATTCCTGATGAAATTCTAAGATCAAGGTGGCTACTGTTTTATGGATCACAGTGCAGGATTTTTGAAAGGAATAAAACATACATAATCAGTAACTGTTAATTTACAATCTCTCTTTCGTAGAGAAGTGTCCTCCTTCTACAACATTGAAGACATTTTAACTCAAATTTAATCTCAAAAATTAATATAATAAATATGTAAAAGTGATAAAGGATGTGTAAATTATAAACATTGAGAAACTTGCACATCTTTCTACACCTGCCTTTCCATCCAATTCCCAAATGTTACATTTCTCTCCTGAACAACACTTGGAACATTGAGTTACACCATTAACAGATTTACAATGCTCATTTGTTGTTGAAGATGTGCAGATATCAATAGAACAATTCCTTTCAAATGTTAACAATGAATTTGTTGATACTCTGTGAGCCCAACAATCCCCTATTCCGCAATCAATTAAGCGAATTTTATCTGTTGAGTTCTGCAAATTTGATATATCTTTTCCGCAATCTTCCAAACTTCCTCTACATTCAAAACATTTCCCTAAAAGATAAAATTATTCAAAATTCTATTGTTTAAAGGTAAATTTTAAAGAAATACTACTCACTGGAACATTGTCTATTGAAATTATGGAGATTAAAACCTGGTTTACAAGATTCACAAACTTTTCCATATATACATTGATTACAACCATCAATTTCGCATGATTGACAAACCTTATTATTGCCTAATAAATTGTAACCTTTTTCGCAACTATGACATATTGCTTGTCCATTTGTAGGAGTTTCACTGCATGTAACGCATTTAGGAAATGTTGCTGCTGAACATGACAAACAAATCCCAGTTGGTTGGAGTGAAAACTCGTTTGATAGACATTTTGTACATTTTACAGTATTGGTCGAGTCAACTATACAAGTTTGGCAATTTGATGGACAAGGTAGACATTTACCATCATTTGCCAGAACATATTTATCATAGCATTGAGAGCATTTATATTCTTCATTATAGGAGCATTCCTGACAAAATTTTGGACATTGTCCACATTCAACATCATTTAAATAATAACTGTTTGAACATGTTGAGCATACTAGAGTTGTGCTACCGGAAATCATTTCGCAAGATTGGCATTCCTTATATCCGCATTTACTGCAAATTGAACCTTTCAATCCGTACTTAGGAAGACATTTTGTACAGGTAACAGTTCCATCACTTAATGAACAATCTTCACATCCTTCTGGACATAATGAACATAAATTCTCATCTGTCTTGTAATATTTAGAATTGCAATTGGAGCAAGTAAATTTTTTTATTGTGAAATCATAGGAGCATCCATTACAGCCAGTTGGACAGAAAATGCAAGAATTACCAACCAAAACACGAGTTGATAGATCGCAAGAAGTACACACAGTCTGATCATTCTTTCTTACTGAATTTAAGCAACCGTATCTTTTTTCGTAGCATTGTTGATCGTCATCATTGTAAAAATAACCAGATTTACAGTTTCCAGAATCGCATCTACCTTGTCCATTTATTTCGCAATTTTCACAATTTGGACTACAACCTGTTCAAAAAATTTTTAATTTTCGACTGTTTGTTTTAAATGCCAAAAGTAAAATACACACTGTTACACGATGCTGGAGATTGAGTTGTGTTCAATTTGTATCCTTTCATACACTCTTCTGGTATGAGTGTTTCATTAACTGCATCTTTATAAGAGCATCTTGCAACAGAATTATCTGTTGAGCATGGTATACACTGTCCATTTGTTCTGTGCCTTGTAAATCCAAGTTTACAGCCATTAGGAATACAGGAAGTAGCATCTAGACAAAAATCACATCCGGCTACGCAATTTTGACAAGAGCCACTACTTTCCAAAAAATTTCCTTTATTACATTTCAGACATTTTAAATTGCCTTCAATGTTTCTAATACAAATTTCACAATCACTTATTGTACATGATTCACATGTGAAATCTGCATCTCTAAAAGCTCCAGTTGAACAGCCAAAAGCTAAACATATTGCTCTTGTTTGATCTGAAGGGTCCAACCTACATTCAGTGCATGGTGCCGGACTTTGTGGACATTGAATACAAGTACCAGAATTGCTCAATATGTAGCCAACTTTACAAATGGTACATTTTGTATTGCCAGATGAATCAGCACTACATTTTGAACAGCCTTCGTGACATTTAGTACAAGTTGGATTTGTTGCAGGTGACGAAGATTGCAATATTGTATAATCGCTACTGCATTGTGTGCACGCAATAACTTCATTTAGTGGGCTGGTCACAGCTAAATTACAAACTTCACAATTAGATGTTGCACCACCAGGACCAGTTTGGCAGCTAACACAGCCTGACCTATCAGCTGTTAGTGCATAATTAGGGTTACATTTTTTACATTTGCATATGTTGTTATCAAGTTCTACTTCTGCGCAAAATGGTTTACTAGCTACTAAGCAACTGATGCAGTCAGTCTGTTGGCTATTTACGAAACCAACTGCAGAACAATCGCAAATACAGCCAACTTTTGTTCCTCCAGTGCATAGTTTTGTACATGGAATACATGAAAAGTAGTCATTAGCGACAGAACCAGTTGAGCACTGAGAACAACTCACACTGTATTGACCATTTTTCAATCTGATGCTGTGAGTTGTGCAATCAGTAATTTTTGAAGTTTCAATACAACCAGGTTGACTTGGATGTTTAAAATATATTTTATCGGCTGTATCAGCTCTACATCTTCCACAAAGGCATTTACCTTCTGATACCACTGCAAATATACAATGATCCAGATTTGAGGCAGAACAAGGGAAACATTCGTATTTAATAGCATTTCCAGAGTCAAGAACATGCCCAACAGTACAAGCTCCACATCTACTCTTATCTGCTGCAAAAGAACCGGAGGCAGCTACATAACCTTTACAGGCAGTGCCACCTTGATTTGCAGTTGGAACAGCAATAATAGAACTAGTACTTCCAGGAGTTAGAATATAATTAGGTTTTGCAACCTTACATCCAGGAACTTTTGATGATCCTCCTGCTGGATCTTTATAAAAGCTATATGAAGCTTTACAATTGGGAATTCCTGGTTGACATATATCGGAATCTAAAACATAATTATCAGTACACCTAGTGCATATAGTTCCTGTTGGGCTGTTATACTTTTGATGGCAACCAGGTATTACTGATGATGTGGTCTCTGGGTCACATTCCAGTCCAATCCTATAAGCAGAACCAAATAGAGCATGAAATTGTTTGATTGCAAATCCACTTAAGCATTTAGTGCACTCACATACGGAACCCCTCTTCTCTTGTAAAATTTCCTCACAATTGGGTGGCTTCTCTGTACATGTGGCCTTACCAGGTGCACAGTTCCTTCCTGACATACCATCTATACACTTTAAGCAATATTGAGAAGGGCCATCTACAATGCAAGATACACAGTTGTCTGTGCAAGGTGTACACTGGCCTGTAGTCAAATGTGAACTAAAGCAAGATGAACATGTTACTTTTCCAGAAGCTCCCTCTGTATTGCTCCAGTCGATACAAGAATCTTGTATTTCTATGGCGAAAATTAGGTCAATCAAATCAAAAGTAAAAGATAGTAATTGAATATTTTGTTCAAGAAATACCTAAGCAACTATTGGGCGATGCTGGATTTTCAACATAACTATACTGACATAATTCAAGGGCATGGGCTGGAGATCCAGTTAATTTTCCAGAGCACCATAATCCATTAGGATACTGCTCAGAGCAAGCTTTTAAGTGAAGAATAAATCATTGTTATTGAGTAGTTGATAACATGGATAAATAAACTTGAAAAAAACCTTTGCATTTTCTATAAGTTGACATTGAATCTTCTTGCAGTACAGTCTGTTTTGTTATATCTGTTTGGTCACCAATACAACCCCCACTTTTACACCTGCATACATTTCCTACTAATTCTAATGTTTTACATTGAAGTGTTGCTTGGTTACAATCTTTAAAATCAAAATACAAATATCTATAATTAATTTCTAATTTAAATATTCAAATTCATACCGTAACAGCCTCTTTTTAAAATACCACCAATTTCAACAGACACCCATTGACCTACTGTACAAGTTTTACATTCAATATCTGTCTGGTCTGAATTTAATACGCATTCTTCGCATCCATTTCCGCAACTTGCACAAATTCCTGCCGATTGACCAGCTAATATGACAACGCTCCCCTTTGGACAGGATCTACAAAAGCAGATGTCGTGTTCATCATTGATCATTCCAGTATTACAAGCTAAATCTTCTGGACAATCTGAATCACAAGTTTTAGTTGAAAATTTATATTTTTTATTCTGGGAACTTGTTGCTTTAGAAGCACAAGGTGATCTTAAACACTGAGCTTCTCCATTGATCACTTCACAATATTCGCAATTTTGAATTGAGCAGGGTAAACATGATTCTATAGTTGAAATCGATGAGTACTTGGGAGCGTATTTACCATTACATTTCAGGCAAACTACACCAGTTGATCTCTTTTTACAGTAGTCGCAACCGGAAGGACATTGTACGCAATTTCCGGTTTCATCGTCATACCCATATCCCAAGTGGCATTTTGAAGGGTAACAGAGAGTTTTTGTTTGATCACTTGTTTCGAAATGACACTTACTACAACTATTTGGACAGGCTATAAGTAAATAAAGAAATTGAATTAATTGTTTCTAGCAATGTTAAAATGTTAACCTGAGCATGTTCCATCATTCTTTTTTACCCAAGAATTTCCACTGCTGCTCTCAATGCAGGAATGACTCTTTTCCGAACCACTACACTCAGTTCTAGAATTTGACAAACTCCAACTGCAAACATTACAATTACTTGGACATTTTGAGCACAGTCCATTCAAATCGAGGGCGTATGTTGGTAAACAACGACCAGATTTACAGACAAGTTTATTATTAGATATTTCACATTCTTGACAATTATCGGGGCATCTATCGCATATCTTAGCCTTGATTGGTATGTACTCACGAAGGCATTTAGTACATTTGACAACATTACCACTTTCAGAGCAAGTATCGCAGTTTCTCGGACATGATTCACAGCTTCCACTCTTAACATAGAATCCAGATTTACATTTTTTGCAGACATTCGTTCCACTACTCGCATCGCATTCAATGCATTGATCATTGATGGAGCTACATTTTTCGCATTTCTTTGATGTTGTTATGGCATATTGCTTTGAGAGACACTCTGTACAAGTATCCTTATCCGAACATTTTAAACAGTCAGCTATAGAACTGGAACATTGTTTACACGTTGCTATGTTGTTGCTATCAACTTGTTTATACGAATCATTTTGGCATAAACTGCAACTTACTCCTTTATCTTTGCTGTATGTGCAAGATTTACAGTTGGATCCGCAAGCTAAAAGATTATATTGTCAAGTTACTAGGGATAATTATAAATTGATAATGATATACCTATGCATGTAGTATCTTTCAGAGTATAGAGTGGGTTACAACTACTACATTCAACTAGAGAAGTTTTAAAATTCCATGTACACTTGTTGCAATTTGTGGGACATTTGATACATTCTTTAGTAGAATCACTTGCAGCATAATTTGAATAGCATTCTAGACATATACTTGAACTTGTACAATTTTTACACCCATTGGAACATGCTAAACAAGTAAGAAAAACATAATACAATATTGAAGAATAGTCAAAGAATAAATTGGTTATAGTATTTAATTTTTTTTACCAAAACATGTATTTTCCTTTAAGTAGTAATGTTCTTTACAAGATTTACATATAGTTTTACCCTGATTATCCAATAGACATCCAGTATTTGTACAAAATTCTGGACAATCTACAAAAATCGTATGTGTCAAAAAAAGCTTAATTGAACAAAGATTTTTTTTGTTTATCTTACCTAAACAAGTCAATTTGTCTTTTGATGGAATACTTCCTTCCTTGCATTGCCAACAAGATGTTACGGGTTTACTGTGAAGAATTTTTTCGCAGCTATAAATGTTGTCTTCCGAAATTGTTGCCAATTGACAAACTATTTTCAGGGTATAAACAATTATTGATAGTGCAGAGAAGTGATGAGACAAAATATCCTAAGATACTTAAACTCTAAAGTTAGGCTTGGGTCATTTTTAGGGTTAGGAAAATTGAATTTTGGATAATAATAATTTTAAATTACCTGTGAATATTTGAGCAAGTAAGCAAACTGTAGATAGCATTTTATATTGCTAATTTACTACTGTTTGCCAGAGACACTACTTTAATTGTGGGAGCTGTGAGAGTTAATTCCATTTAATGTAATACCACTGAAATCCTGATCGTCATAGATATTTTAAAATACCATTCAAGAAAGCTGTACTTGTGCCAATTTTCTGAAGATTATTCAAATTCGATTCTATAGGTTGTGAAGCTTAATCTATTTACAATAGCACAACTGATCCAAATATGTGCCGTTTAGAAAATGTTCAATGTGAATTAAAAGTCTAAATTAACAATAGAATATTTTCAAAGCTGATATTTTTGACAACTTATCATTGTTTATATGTTGTCAAGAAACTCATTTTAGGAAATGTTATTGTCTAAAGATTTTATTAATCCTATTGTACAGAGTTGTATGGTAATTGTAGAAATCTCGAGTTCGTTACGATTGAATTCGTCCTCACCAATCATTTACCAATAAACCAAAGTACTGGTCCAAATAGAACCTTTCAAGTTCGTCCCACAGGTAGTCTCAACGAACGCAATTCCGGCAAAAATTAATCAATGAACCGCCAGTATTTCATGCAAAGAGTATGTATTGAGTATAATGAGTTTTAGTTCTAAACAAGCAAGTTTAAACAACTAGCTAACATTTAAAACTGAACTGACGAACTGAGGAAATGCATTTCCTTTTATACATTTACCAAAGCTTCGGTTCAATTGTTCAAAGGAACGCAAAGTTGAGTTGTAACGATCTTACAATGAACGTACAACAAAGGTATGAAAAACAGTTATATGATATAGGTTATGCATGTGGTACTTCGAAAACAAGCCTTAGTTTTCAGCATCTGTTATTCAATAAGATGTAACAATTTTGACATGCATTTTTTCCTGTTCTTTGTTCCATTGTTTATACCACCGTGGCAACATCTGTTTTCTTCAGACAATTATACTTTGTGCGAACTAAAAGCCTTTCTAGAATTCAAAGCATCTAATTCCACTAAATAAGGTCTTTCTTAGGTTTCGGTTATTAATTCCATCAAAAAGTGGTTTTTTTCTAATGTTTCGCTATTCTAATTCCTTTAAAATAAGATCTATCAAAGAAGGATTTAAGTTAGAAGAGTCTAATCATGAATATTAGTCACAATCGTGGGAAAATTAGAAACTACAGAGAGATTTTGAGCTGGAATTTTGAATATTTGTAATGAACTCGACCATTCAATGAATTCTTTAAGCAGTATCCCTTTGGCAGTTTGCTCTCTAAATAAAAACAATTAGAGTCAGCAATTAATGTTCAGCCTGTCAAAATTCAAGGTATTCCAATTTGTATGCAATTCACTTTATATCCACTGCTCTTTAATTAGGCTTAGTATCCAAATTTCCAAGAAATATAACAGATAAATTGATCACAGAATTTGAATAATTAGTAATGTTAAAACTTTTAAATCCTTAGATGATCATAGTGTTCTCTGGCAATCAAATTTAACAGATGTATATATTGTGAACTAGATTATTATTTTCTGTTATGAACCTCTAGTTTGACCATACCATAGACCAAAGAATAAAAATGATCAGTTGACAATTGAAAAAAAATAAGAGTCAGAACTCTATACTTTTTCATTATCATTGTTTGAAAGCAGTCTGGGATCAATTTTGAAAAAAATGGAAAAGAGACAGGTATTGGAAAAACATGATTGTGAAAGGCTATAGCATAGGAGGTCCACCACCATCTACAATCAGTAGACCCTCTGCCCCAGCTTGTTCTGGGAAGGATGCTATTCCTTGTATTTGTCTTAATACCTATTTTGAAAGGGGTCAACAGAAAACATCTACAAATGATAAATTTCAAGACAAGATTTTCGATTGAGAAATGGTTAGTAAGAAGAAGACAGCAACTGATTTATACTAAGGGTAAAGGAAAAGGTTAGGTAAAGCAAAGGGCTGGGTTAGGGTTAGGGTAAAAGCACTGATTTGTGGACATTTTCTGTCGCATCCATTTTGAAATGAAAGATCTGTCACTTTCAGAGTCAAAGGATAAACCTTAAAACCAGTGTTAGTTTTAAATTGTCCAATAAATGTTGAAACATTTCATTCTGATTGTTTACTTTGTAACAACTCACAAATGGCTTCTTCACTATCTGAAAAGCAGAGAATATCTTAAACTTTATAATTTTCTGACATGCTGTTATTGGCTAATGTTTCCAATTTTTTTACGTTAGGTTCCTCTTTCAGGATTAACTTTGCTGGTTGATTTTTCTTTTAATATTGTTAAAGGTGGTGTATAGTTTTGGATTTTTTGGTTGGACCACTTTTCTTTAGTAGTGTTTTTCAAGTCAGGTCCATGCTTTCTATTCCAAAAATTTGGGGTTTCTGTAAAAGCATATTGTACAACTTTGGTTATATTTTACATGCTTGAACTCTATTATTTGATGCAACATATACATGTACATCTTAAAACCTACGCAAGAAAATGCTATAACATTGGCCAAACATAAGTCTGATTAGTCAGCTTGAAGGCTCATCTTTAATTACCAATAAAGGTTTGGCCAAGTTATAATTTAATTAACTTGCCTAGGGTGTGGCCAAGTTATAATTCAATTAACCTTCCTAAATGTTCAACCTTGTAACATCCTCTTACTAAACATAAATATGAACTACACATTTCGGCAAAACTGTAAAGTGATGATTGGATGTCAGAGGCAAACCTCAAAGTATATAAATCCTCACTATTCTCATTTGGCATGCAGCTTCCATCTGGACCCAAGGACCTGGGAGAATCATCTGGAAACAACCTCCACTGGAACCATCCATCTACTCCTCAACATTAGAAGACAGTTTGGTAATTTGGCAACCTGCTTTTACAAACTATCTACTCTGCTATCGAACTCTCATATTGTTACTTGCTTAAGTATTATTATTGCGAATAAACCGTTTTAATTTAAACATTTGTTTAAAGGTTCGAGTAGAACCAGTATTGTTATAACTTGCAAATGCATAGATTTTGCCAGCAAGAACAGTACAATATTTTTTATCACTTGGATCCTTTTGGGCTCTTTTCTCTTTTGAGTTTCCAACTTGGAGACCATTGTGATTGGTTTTCTCTGGGTTAGTTTTAATGAGGTTTCTGACAATGTTTGACATTAAATGTAGAATATGCTTTTGTAATCCTCTTTGAAAAACTCCATCAGTTTCATTTCTTTCATTGTTGGAAGCAATTATGATTTCATTGGTCTGAGTGGAGAAAACATCTTTATTAATTTCTTTGCTCTGTTAACAAACTAAACCACACTTTCTCCATTCTTTTGCTTTAAGGTAAACAGTTTCTCTTGATACTCCATAGAATAAAGATCAAATTCATCATGGAGGGCTTTCCATATTGCTTCTACAGCAGGCTCGTCATCAACAGCTAACACCAAATCCTTTGCAGTACCAGTTAAATAAATCTAAAAGGTTTGCTTTCACAGCATCTTCACCAAATCAACCATAAGCATGACAGGCCTGATTAAAGTTTTCCTTGAATTTTAAACACTCCTTGCGTCCATCATACAGCTTGAGGAGAGTTTTTTGAAGGCAATCCCAACCAGCCCTTAATGTCTGAATTACTATTGTGATATCAAAATTTGAGTCCTGTGCTGAGTGAGGTGTTCCATTTCCCAAAATCTGGTGGAATTGTGATTCTAATTCTTTTAATTTCAGTCACCAATCTATTATATTCTTGGATCCAGATACAAATGCTTAAAATGAAAATAGTGAGGATTTATATACTTTGAGGTTTGCCTCTGATATCCAATCATCACTTTACAGTTGCTGAAATGTGTAGTTCATATTTATCTGTAATAACAGGAAGTTACAAGATTCAACATTTGGAAGGGTTAATTGAATTATAATTTGGCCACACCTTAGGCAAGTTAATTGAATTATAACTTGGAC